CCTTTAAAAACAGGGATTGGCCTGGACAGCGAGCGATTCTGACCGCCGGCTACCAGGCCACCAACGCAGAGCCGTCTCCTCTCTGCTCAATAGGTGGGACGCATGAGCAAATGAGGAGCCAGAGATTGTTCTGCACCTCCTCTTTGGCCAAAACCACCAGGATTGAGATTCTGAAAGTCAAATTTAAAACAATGGAAAACATGGCACACGTGCACGTGCACACACACACACATACATACATACACACACACAGAGCTAATGAGTCCTAAGAGACAGAAAACACACTTCAGTGAGGAATGTGATAATTTGGCTCCAGGCGAGTCTTTATCCCTGTGAGATACACACTCGGGTGCAAGCGTGCCACCGGCGGCTGATTGGACGGCGGTAATATAAACACCAATCAGAGACAGTGAGCACACCCGGCCAGTGGGCTGTTACAGAGACGAGGGCGCTCATCACTCAGAGGGGTCGTGAAAAACGAGTTTCTCCAACACTTTGTATGAACTAAGGGAAAGTTTTCTTGGTGTTAATGAAGTTTAAATATAATCTTTTGTCTTTCTAGCCTGAGAAACAGGATAATGACGCATTGGCATTTCCCACAAAACCACTCCATCCCTTTATCACTTTTTATCCTTCAAGAAAAATGTCAGTGTTTAACTGAGTAGAAAAATGTCTGTCTTTCACTGGAAAGCAACATTATGCTTTTATGGAGCAGAATTGGCAAGTGTGTATGAAAAAGCATCCTCGGTAGTTAGTCGAGGAAATAAGGCAGGAAACAGTGGGTCCAAATAAACTGCAGCATCCGTCACACACACATAACAAACTGCTGGATGACACACACGAAACAACTGCATCACATTACTAACGAGCTACAACGATTACATAACATGGCCACAAACCGTAGTAAGCAGTGGTTTCACTGTCTGTTTAGGAAAGTAAACTGCTGGCCGGCTGCACAATAGCTGCTTTTCGACCTATAAACACATCAACACGTTGAACAAACAGTGGGGAGCTTTGTGGGGAAACAGGCGTGTTAAATCCTGTGTGTATCTCTGGCGTGGGAGCTTCTGCACAAACCCGGATGCGGGAGAGACCAGAGGGTAGAGAGGGAGAGCGATGTGTAAGACGATGATGCCATGATGAAGTCTTTATGGAGAGGAATTCAATTATGGATAATGAAGGAAGTCTGTCTCCGCACTGCAATCTGCCCTTTAAAAACAACAAAGAGAAAGTGACTTCTGTTTCAAAGTTTTCTGTTTCTTCAACTGCCCGCTCTCATCGTCAGGTCTTCTTCCCCTTGTCATGAGTGAGGCGTGTTGATAAATCAGTATTCTGCGACGGCTTCAGGTGAGTCCACAACCCTGTGAAGCACTTTAACTGAAGAACACGACGAGATCCCTTCTCCCTCAGATACAGAGCAGGTAACGATGGGCGGGCTGTTTGCATTTCCCCACTGAGGTTCGTTCTTCAGACATATTTTGTGTGGTTTCCGAAGTATTCAGTTTATTTCTGTTTGGTCAGGTTATTTTGTAATAGGAACAACAACACTTGGTAGTTTGGTATTTTTGACACTGACTGCAAATCTACAAAACATACACATCTATTAATTATCCAGTTCAATATCCCAAATTATTTTCCACAAACAGAATAATAGCAAAGGGCTCAGATTACTTTGTCCAAATATCTGATCAAAATCAAGGATCTGCTTAACAAGCCACCAAAAATAGAAATATCAAAATCAAACAAACAGTTATTAAAGGACACTATGAAAGTATTATTATTGTTTTATCTGCAACTGATTCTAGGATTCTAAGGATCAGTATTAGTTCACTTAAGATTTGGTCTCGTCGTTACCATTAGTGAATTTGATTGAGGTATTATACTGCCAACAAACTCCAAACGGTTAGCTGTGGGTATTTAATCAGTGTTGCTCAATGTAATGTTCAACTGGAGAGTGATGCATGGCCTCAGGGTAAACATGAGAAGTTGAATTGGACATCTGAAAGACTGAATTTGTAAATCTACTGTTTACAAATTCAAGTGTCAGCCACTCCATTTAGTTTCCAACAACTTGAAAGAACAGAATCCATTATCAGTGGCTGGGAATTGGCTACAAACCACCACCCTCAGTAACACTGTTGAGTAAGTTGTGAGCCCCATAATAAACAATCCACCACAGACTAATAAAGAAAACACAGTTCTTTATCTCTTTTATAAAGTCTGCGGCCAGCTTCCCTGTGAGTTATGATGACATCAAATTCTTTAGGGAGACGTGAAACTGATCATCTCCTCTGCTGTTAAAGTCACAAAGAAAATAAAGCCCCCTCTGTGTTGTTTGTATGCTGCTCTTGATACTGCAGCTGGTTGTCTAGTGTTCATCCACTATTCCCCGTCGTCCTCCGCCTCTGCAGCATTAGAAATAACCTTCAGTCTGTTCTTAAGTGATGACTCTGTGCAGCGGAAACCAGCACCCACACACACAGACCCCAAATCAAACCAGTGCTACAACTCAAGCTCCGTGGGTGACTGTGATGAACAAGCCGGACTCAGACGAGATGTAAGACAGCAGGGGGCGGGGGCGCTGGTGGCGAGGAGGAGAGAGAGTAGCCGGTGTGAATGTGAGTGATCTTTTCCTCTGTGGTGGGACAAACTGGAAATTGCTCCACACCGCCGCTGCCAGTAATCCAGCAGGCTCAGCTGTTCGGAGCGGGCAGCATGTGGTGAGCAGCTACCAGAGCCTGGTTTACTGGTGTGGAAACAAATAAACACAGCAGAGCCTTGTGCACAGGTACAGGGATTTTCTGACACTCAAGAGTGTATGTGTGGCCTGTGGATGATCCCTGTGTGGGAGGTGGGAGGGGAGTCACGGCCTCTGACCACAGAGGATGTGGTCGCTCATTCTCCTACTCTCTTCTTCTTCTAACTGTTTGTCTTTCTTCCTTTGTTGATTATTATTCCCAGAGTATGGTCATGATAACTGCGTCGCTCTCAGGATGGTAGGTCGGCCCACCGTTTTTTGGTCCAGGCTGAAATCTCTCGACAACTACTTGACAGATTGTGATTAGATTTTGTGCAGACGTTCATTGAGCCTCACAGGAACAGTCCCTCTAGCGCCACCATTAGATTCATATTTGTAGTTTCGCAGGAACCATGGGCTGAACCGTCGTCAAACTTAAAACATATTCATGTTCCTCACCGGATGAAATGTAAAAACCCTGGCAAAGCCCTCATCGTTCATCCAGCACCTTTATCAGTGTGGTGTTTAAGGCGTTTAAATTATCCTCAGCTGTAGTTTATTTTACTGCTAAGTTAAGTTTGAAATATTGAATAATTTAACTATTAAAAGTTTTATAAAAAAAAAATTATATTTATTTCAATGGTTCTATAGTAATGAAAAAAGTTCATGAAAAAGTATTTCATCTTGCAGCCTATATGAATACAGTTTTAACAAGAACGCTCTGAATGAAATGTTTCTTGTAAGTTGATATGAGGAGGATTAATCGTGGAACTATAATTAACCAATTTTCCTTTTGCAGTTTAGCGATCTACAAATCAGTTTATCATCTCAGCATAAACCGACACTAGCTGTAGATAAAGCTGTCCCACTTTACTCGGGGCTTTTAGGATCAGAATAAAACTGAGTGGAACCAAAAGTAAAAATGATTCTCCTTCAAAAATGGATTTGTTTTGTTAAGAAACTGCTACTATTGAAAAGCAGCGACTCATGTTCACATTACAAATGGCCTTATTATCTATGATCTGACTAAGCTCTTGGCTCTGTATTCCACCCAAACCACCATGGAGAAGGAGGATCAGAGCTGCCTGGAGACTGTGTGTCAGATCCCAGTTCGGAGGGGTGGGTGGGGGTGGCGCCGCGGGATCTCCTGGGATCACCGCGGAGCTCCGAGACAAAAGGGACATTGTGGCACAGACCGACCCATCCATGAAAACACTACTTCCTGTCCCATCAGCTCCGGCATCCTCCGCACATGAGCTGCTCACTTCCCAGAACTGAATGTCTCTTTTTAACTGTTTAACCGTTTACAGCAGAAGTCAGCACTGACCGTATGCAGGCGCTGGGAATATAACACACTGGACTGAGGTGGCAGTCACCGAGTTTCACACAGATTTTAGGATCACAAACATTTCACAGCTATTGTATTGATCCCTGAGGGGAAAGTGGGTTACGACTTACGATTACCAGTTAGCTTGTTTTCTTGAAAGTTGGCATCTGTTTTGCATATTTGTAAGTGGTATAAATTTTCCATGTCCGTGTACTTTTATTGTGGATACTGTTGTTGATGTTGTCTCTGTGTTTTTGTCTCTTCGCAAACTCTTGCTGCACCAAGAATTTCCCCTTTTGGAACAATAAAGATTACCTAACCTCGCTCCTGAGATCAAAATGGAATTTTACTATATAAGGAGTCTTTCATTGCTGCCGCTTAGTAAACGATATATAGTGTTGCTTTCAAATAGAAATTCTCTGCTGCTGTTAAATAACCAAATCTCAAATCTTGTATTTTTAAAATATCCTCGAATGTGCACAAAAAAAAACGAGCCTACAGCTCAAAATGATCACATGACAATCAAGCACCTCAGACTGAAACTGACATGAAATTAAAAATAAACTGTTCCCGGTGCTGAATTACAAGGTCAGGAAACCGTCTGCCAGGATCTCATTTGACTTCTTAGTCATTACATCAGATTTCCCCTTGTGTGCATCATAGGGACAAATGTTCTTCATGTCATAAGAGTGAAATTCCTTTTTACTCATTCTCCTGTGATCTGGTTTCAAATCCCCTATGATTACAGAAGGTTGTTGAAATGCATTTTCACTGGTATCAAGATTGTTATCAGCTTGAGTCACTCTTCAGAATAAACCCATGAGCAGTGATTCCAGGGAAACGGAAGAAATGTAACTATGTTTGTCACAAAAGCTGTAACAGAGAGATGGTCTTGATTTGAAGGAACACAGACTCTGACAATAGAACCACGTGGGATCACACTACCTTGACGTGGCTCTGAGCGCCCAGGTTGTAGATCTCTGTCGGCTTCACCTGGTTGATGATCTTCACCAGACACGTGCTGTCGGTCAGATCGCCGTAATGCAGCGTCATTTCTGACAGAGTTGGAAAAACACACACGGATGAGTTCACATGCAAAACCGGACTCAGACATTGATCTTCAAAGCTAAAAGCAAAGAGACGTTTCTGCGGTTATTCACCTGCTCCCCCACACGTCCACCAACCATGACTTTGCTGTTTTCTTGTTATGAATATATGATATCAACGTTTTTTGTTTGTCAGAATCGGACATATCTGAACACGGGATGTCTTGTCAAGGTGGTGAGTCCAATTCTGCAAGTTCTATTGAGAGTATAATTCCTAAGACGTTTTGCTACCGATTGGCAATCTTACTAAATAATGTCCGTTAGAAATCTGTCAAACATAGACTGTAAATAAAGAGAGAGGACATTCCAACCTAAATCATCTGGATTGCCCCCTGGTGGCTGCACCACACCTGCTGCATATTAGCAGATGGGACATGGACCAAACTAAAATATCAAAGTAATCGCTTGAATATATATTTTTGTTTTACTTACTGTCCGCAGTGTGTGTGCAGGGGTTCTGGTAAAGATGATTAATGCGGCCAGTGTTGAAGGAGCTGGAACGACGCAAAATACCGTGAACCTGAGAGAGAAGGAGCCAGAAGATAAAGATATACTATATTTGAAATATCCACAATTCTTTTTATAGCTAGACAGAACTGAATTTAAGACATAGAGAATTTTCAGTTGTCAAACTGTCATAGGTGTCGTAGATTAAATGGATACGCTAATCAGAGTGACATATTAAAAAATCTTGAAGTACTGTGACATGTCAAAATGACATTATGCCATTTTGAAAGAGAATATGCAAATCAGGGCGACACACCTAGAATAGTTTGTTGAAGAAATGCAAACTAGAGGCCACATATCTGACAAATAACAAAGGGCACTTCCACATGTCATCGTCACATTCTGACAAGTCCAAAGGTCATTTCCATTTGTGAAAACTGAGTCAATGTTAGTCAGGCCGGCTTATTAAATGTTAAAACAGCTCGTACTGAACCACACATTTGAAAGGTGTCAGATATACAAAGTCCACAGACGTACATGGTCAAATCTTGTAGCGATTGTTAAACGCTACGAGGCAAATTAGGAATACGAGCTACACAAATGCAACTTGATTGATTGAGATGTGGATGCAGAGTCGTCATGTGAGGGGTGGAGCCTGCGTAGAGCAGCTGGAGGCAGGTTTTTGTTTACAACACATCCACATCAGCATCGGACCTTCATGGCAAGAGCTCTTTAATCTCGTCTTTCCAAGTCGAGGTCTTCGATCATCTTCTTTATGTAGACTACTCTTTTAACTCCGGAGATGTTTGTATTCTTTCAGGGTTTTCTTTCATTTTCGCATCTGCCCTGTATTATAAACGTCATCAGCACACCCACTCGCTTACTGTTAATCTTCCGGATGTTTCCTGCTGTATTCTCAAATGGGCTCCCTCTCTGACATTATCGGAATATCTTACCAGGGGGAGCAGGGAGAGAAAGTTTACAGAAAATGAGCAAGTGTCCGGGAATAAATACGTTCTCACATACATTCCCCTCTGGAAAAAGGTTTGGCGTTCAGTGCAGGTCCGAAAGGTGAAATAGTGGCCAACTTTATTTTGTTACAAGTTTTTCTTGTCTTGTAGATCTTTGGACTCAAACTTTATTTTGTACTGCAGAAGTCGACACGATGGTATTGTGTGTCATGCTGCAGCTCGCTGTGTGGTTAGCGCTGCCTGTGATGTGTGACTGTGTGTTCTGAGGGGGGGATGTGTGAGGAAGCTCTGCTCGGGGAAGATAACACAACCTGATCCAAGGGGAGTCCATTAGTGGGAGGACGCTGTGCCCTGACCTCACTTCCTTTATTCACTGTGCACTTACTGCCTTCATGTGCGCTCCTCTTTAATGCCCCCACCCCCCCACCTCCTCCACATCAGCATCCCCAACCTGGATCCAGTCCACTTCCTGCCTGCCGTCTGAGAATCTGCAGGCTGAGATGATGGTGTGTGTGTGTGTGTGTGCGCTGTTCTGCTACACGTCAAATCAAGCAGCTACTGTCAGGAAAACACAATGAGCTCTAGTGGCAACATGTATGTTTATGCAAGTGTGCTGAATGTATGGGGTTTCCAGGGGTTGTGAAACCACGACGTGAAGCCTCAGTTGATCAGAAACAGCTTGTTAGACCTCGGCGTCCATCGACAGGCGGTTTAATTTTATGGAGGTCGTGAAAACACGCGGTGCAGCAGGTGAAAGTTAGTGACCTCACTCAGGCGGACGTGTTACAACAGCAGTTTCCCTGTTAATGTCCTGACCTCTGAGTAAAAGGGGAGAGGTTAACAGGCAACACAAAGGGTCTTATCAGGGTGAGATGTGAGTCCGTCCACATATGAAGCCGAGTGTCGCATTATGTCACGATCCCTCCGGAGCTCCCACACACTGCCGTCGACTGGAGGCTGCTTATCGGGGGATTGCCGCTCTGAGTGTGTCTGTCTGCGTCAGCATCTGGATTCATTTGTGTGTATGTGTGTGTCTATGCCTCTCTGCGTTGTTGCAGCTAATGTGCAGTCTGGGGTTCTTCTTTCTCACCATGTAGCCTTTTGCGATCAGGAACTCAGCGAGGTAGGAGCCATCCTGGAAAGAGAGAAGACAACACAACTTAAAATCTGTACAATAAAATACACAAAGACACATAGATGAGATTTAACTTCGAAGCCTGTGCTGAGTTGAATTACAGATATGACCAATTGATACTCTGGAAAAATTGTTTTTTTCCTTGTCTTGTTTAAGTTATTTTTAAAGATGAAATAACCTAAACTGATGCTTTATTGTGTCGTGCAACCCACAACAACTATAAGACAGAGACTAGGCCTTCTGAGACTCATTTACTGTGTTAGAACATCAACATGGAAAGAATTCCTAATGTAATTAATAGAAATGGAATGAGTTTCATCTGTAAAAGCCCTGATCATTATATCTGAACTCTGCATTAATACAATATCTCTAGGTCAAAACGTTGAAGAAAAAAAAAAATGAGTTAACCACTAATGTGTCATATTAGAAAACATTTTCAGATAATTTTCATTTTGGTTTAAAGGCAAATATTAATTGTATTTAGTGGCTTCCTGTTTACTGGTTAATATTTTTCATAAGCATCATCGCTTTATGTTTAATACCTGAATCTTTTACCAAAGTGTCATTAGATCAACGGTCTTCAGACAAAAAGGCAAAATCATCTAAATCTGGCTCCATTAATGGACACGATTGGTCGAATAATCAAATAAACAAAACAAATGGTGTCAGAAAATAAGTCTCCTGAAACCTTCACAGTGAATTCTGAGGCCTGGGATCATTAAGTGTAACATTCACAAGAATCAGGAGCTTTAGCCAGACGTAGTGGCAGTGTAGGAGTGTGTGTGAGAGTGTGTGTGAGACCGAGCCCTGTCAATAAGGTCTTGTTCCCTTCAGCCATGTTACTCCTCGTCTTTTTTCCCTGCTCAGACTTTCCGACCGCACATTCTGGAACACTCTGGAAAATTCCGAACCAGTCATGGCATTCATCGCTCAATCCCCCTCGCATGTGCGCACACACACATTTACACGCACTCTAACACTGCCTGGATGCCAGCCCTACGCTTCCTCAAGAGTGGGGTTGGAGGGCGGGGAGACAGAAGACAGAGGAGGGGTAGAGGCGGGATGACACACAGAAGAAACCCGCCGGGCAGAGATGCTCGTGTTTTAGACTCAGGCTTTGCCATAAGAAACCGTACAGATCGGCCAAGTCAAGTGAGCAGAATTGGCTATAGAAGCATTACACTACAAAATGAAGATGTCACTTTACCCCTCAGTTGTTGTTAATTGTGAGTAGAGACCGGCTGGTACAGATTTTTAGAGGTGAATGCTGATGTTAGGGAGTAAAAGAATTCCGATAAAATATAAAAATTCGATACGATTCCCAAGATGTCATTATCAAACCCTACTGAGAAGGGAGGTGTTGATATTTTATACTACAACCATGAAATGTATTATAAATCATTTTAAATAGAAAAAAAACACAAATAAAAGTTGAATTAAGAAAATAAACATTATTTGTACAAACTTTATTTGTACAAAAGTAAATGTGGTCACCCGCGCATTCTTTTTTACACGGCTGCCTGTAATTCAGTGCCACTCGAGGCTGTAAGCCAGCAGCGGCTCTTTTTTATGCCCTTCTGAATTATTTGGATGAGCTTGAAATGCTAAACAGCTACTGCTTTACTCCAAATAATAAATGTTTTATTAGCTTCACAAATTTACGTCTTATACTACTACTACGTCTAAGATCATTTTCAGCATATGCAGGTTTGGCGCTGGTGCCTAACCTGTTTCTGTCTAACCCAGGGAGGGGTAAGGGGTGCTGGGATGGCACTGGCAGACCCTCGCCCGTCCACACGGCGTTCAAAGCACCAGCCGGTGTCATGTTTTCCTGCCCCTGTGCCAGGGTCAAAGCGTTCCATGCCAGACCAATATGGAAAACAAGCCTGAAGAGCTGCAGCCCTGTTTCAAAACAAGAGGCTCCTTTGAGGCCGTATTAGCCCATAAACCCTGGCCTCACCTCGCCGTTTCCTGTTATGGGGAGTTGGGCGCTTGGTGGGAGCAAGCGAGTGGGGGCGCGCACACACACACGCACACAAACTACATTTTCACCTGCCAGGTCAATGCCATACCACAAACTCCCCAAAGACTCATTTTGGCCTTTGACACAATATGATCCCTCTACTACAGCTACACTGAATCTGAGCCAAAGGCTGGTCCAGTGACAGGAGAGTGAAATTTAATTGAAGTATAGGGCAATATTTTTCTCATATTTGCATACTGGTGTTATGAAGCATTAACCATATCCCGCTTCTTGATGTCAAGGTGTGTTTGCAGAAGCTACGACAGCCTGAGGGGCAGAAAGACTTTGAAAAGTCTATGCATCATCATGAAGTAATGCAGTTCATTAAAATGCATTAAGCTATGCCTCAAATTAACAGAATTATCCCCTCATGGTCTCCGCCAGCGAGACACGCTGCAGTTTCCATCAATGTTTGTCCAGACTCATAACATACAAAATGTGGGTTTGTGTATTTAAATTTAGATTTAGCCAAAATAAAGGAA